CAGAGTTAGACATGTATGTGCTAACTACATTGATTGCATGTGCGATATCAGGCTGAGTACACACCATTGCATACATGATACTAACAATAGCACTTGATTACTTACGAAAAATTTCTTAATCAAATTCATTTGAGAAAGATATAAAGTACCTGTAGTTTTGTTCCTCTAATCTCTATACCCAAAATCTTCTACCCAGCTCCTAAATCCTTCATCTCAAATTCACCGCTCAATTCTTGTTTCAACTTGTTGATCTCAAATATATTCTTGGCAACAATAAGCATATCAACAACATACAACAATAAATAAACAAATGAGCCATCATCGAACTTTCATACATAGTTATCATATTGGCTTCTAGAATACCTAGTGTTGCACCATAAAGGAATCAAGCCTTTTGTACCATTGTTAAGGAGATTGTTTCTAGTCATACAATGATTTCTTTAATAAGCAAACATGGTCTTTCGTGCCTTCAAACTTCAAAACCTTCAAGTTATTGCATATAAATTTTCTCCTCAAGTTCACCATGCAAGAAGGCAGTCTTGTATCCAGTTGTTCTAACTCTAAATCATACATAGCAACTAATGTAAGTAAGACTTGAATAGAGGTATGTTTAACAATAGGTGAGAAACTATCATTGAAATTAATTCCTCGAACCTAACTTTAACTGTAGCTCTTTGCAACCAATCGAGCTTTGTATCTAGAATCTTCAACACCTGGAGTTCCATTTTTCTTCTTGAAAGATCCATTTGCATCCAACAATCTTCTATCTTTTAGCGGTCTAACCAATTTCAAATTTTGATTTTTATAAAGAGATTTCACCTTTTCTTGCATAGGAACTAGATGTTTGGCTAAATCATCATAAGAGATTGCTTTTGAATATGTAGATGGCTCACCAACAACGTTTGCTTCTTGTGCCACTAACAATGGAAAAGGAACATAATCTATATCAAACAATCTTCTGGTGATCATCTCCTATCTTCTTGGCCTTTATAATCCTTTTATGATAATGTTTCTATCTGAACTAGGGAAGGCAACTAAACTGGGCCTTATTCTAAAGAATCATTTTATGGGGGTACACATTTCATCTCAAACTCCCCCTTCTTAGCTAAATCTTTTGGAATTATGTCAGATGAAGTAGGAGATTCCCTTTTGGATTAATCATCTCGACTTTATTGAAAATGACATCTCTACTGATTACTGACTTTGATGGCTTGCGATCAAGAAGCCACACTTTATATCCTTTGACACCAACTAGATAACCAATGAAAATACCCTTTATAGATCTAGGCTCCAATTTTCCTTCATGTGTATAGACAACCAAATATCTTTAAATTAGAACAATCAGGAGGGTTTCCTGACCATACCTTTTCTGGAGTTTTCAAACCAATAACTGTTGATGGAGAATGATTCACCAAATAGCATGTTATCGAAGCTGCTTTTGCCTGAAAACTTTCAACAAACTAGAATTAGATAACATGCAATAGATCTTTTCCAACAGAGTTCAATTCATGGATTCAGCAACATCATTTTGTTGAGGAGTTCCTCTGATTATATGATGTCTTACAATTCTTTATCTCTACAAAATTTGTTAAATTCATTACCATGGAACTCTAATCCTTTATCTATATGAAGCCGCCTAATCTTTTTACTTGTTTATCTTTCTACCAAAGCCTTCCATTATTTAAAAGTGGTAAATACATCATTCTTGTGCTTCAGAAAATAAGCCTATACCTTCTTAGAGTAGTCATCAATGAAAATGAGCACCACCTTTCGAAGTAACACGAGTAGGCCCCCAAGGAAGTGAATGGATATAATCTAAAGTGCTCTAATGTTATGAACTGTTATGCTGAAACAGACTCGCTTCTGTTTGCCGAAGAGACAATGTTCATAGAACTCCAATTTGGTTATACTTTAGCCACAAAGAAGACCCCTTTTACTCAAATTTTCCAAGCCTTTTCACTCATATATCCCAACCTCATATGCCATAATTTGATTTTATCGAAATCTGCAGCAGCTGTACCAGTTATTACAAATGCTAGTAGCACATATAATATGCCAAATCATTGCTCCTTTATTACAGGAGTGCACCCTTAGCAACCTTCACAAAGCCTTTTTCTCTACTAAATTTGTGACCACTCATCTCTAATGTACTTAAGGAGATAAGATTTTTCCACATGTCTAAAACTTATCGAACAATAGTCAATGTCCTATTACATTGTCAGACATTTTGAGTTTTATTGTACCGATTCCTAAAACATTTAGTGTTTCATCATTTGTCATCAACACAACATCATTAGTAGGTTCAGGAGTGGAGAACCACTCTTTGTGGACACACATATGAAATGATGCACCAGAATCTAAATATCACTTACATGTGGATTTAGATTCAACCACAAATGGACAAAGCTCATAAGATTACCATCTTCCACAACATTGGCTTCAGCAATATTGTTTTGGTTTTGTTACTTATTTTTCAACTTGAAGTAATCAGCCTTAATGTGCCATTTTTTCTAGCAATAATTACAAGATAGATTCTAATGTCTTGATTTTGATCTGGTTTTGGATCTATTACTGCTGGCTGAATCTCTGTTTATAGGTTTTTCTCTAACAAATAGGCCTTCTGATAGACTGTAATTACTTTAAGTGAGCCCTTTATCCATATGCTCATTTGAAAACAAAGATGATTTTTACCTCCTCCAAAGTAATAATTGTCTTGTTGAAAATTAGAGTATATCTAAAATTCTTATAAGACAGAGCATACTAGAATTCTTAGACTTTGATACCAGTTGTTATAAAGTTTAATGGTGGATATCTATTTGTGATAAAGGAAAAATTAATAATGCGATAACAAAATGATAAGAGGGATATAAAATTTTACATGGTTTAACGTAAGCCTACATCCACGAGAGAAAGAGCAACTCTTTGTGGACACACATATGAAATGATGCACCAGAATCTAAATATCACTTACATGTGGATTTAGATTCAACCACAAATGGACAAAGCTCATAAGATTACCATCTTCCACAACATTGGCTTCAGCAATATTGTTTTGGTTTTGTTACTTATTTTTCAACTTGAAGTAATCAGCCTTAATGTGCCATTTTTTCTAGCAATAATTACAAGATAGATTCTAATGTCTTGATTTTGATCTGGTTTTGGATCTATTACTGCTGGCTGAATCTCTGTTTATAGGTTTTTCTCTAACAAATAGGCCTTCTGATAGACTGTAATTACTTTAAGTGAGCCCTTTATCCATATGCTCATTTGAAAACAAAGATGATTTTTACCTCCTCCAAAGTAATAATTGTCTTGTTGAAAATTAGAGTATATCTAAAATTCTTATAAGACAGAGCATACTAGAATTCTTAGACTTTGATACCAGTTGTTATAAAGTTTAATGGTGGATATCTATTTGTGATAAAGGAAAAATTAATAATGCGATAACAAAATGATAAGAGGGATATAAAATTTTACATGGTTTAACGTAAGCCTACATCCACGAGAGAAAGAGCATAAAATTCACTAGTTAACAGTGAAAATACAAAGTACAAAGTGAGAGATAAAAAATTCTAAACCCAAAAATACCCAAATCTCACCAATATTTTTCACTCTTAAAATTATAACAGTAATTAATTATTGACAAATTTACTATAACTAAACTAGAAGTAGAAAAATGGGTAAGAGAAAACACTCAAAATGGACTGTCTCACACACTCCACTTATATCTCTTATCCAACTAAAAAATGACCAAATAACCATGACCTATATTTATAACTTTGCTGACTCCATAATGCTTTGCACCCAAGGTAAGTTAACTTCGTGCTTTGTATCAAAGTAAAGCAATGCAAAGACTTTAACTTGAAGACAAAGTTGTGTGCTTTTAGAAAATCAAGGCACAATCAACAAAACTAGCAGTAGAAGGCAACTAAGGATCATCCTAAATTAAGATACTAGAATCAGAACTCACTTGCCAATAAACACCCTCCTTAATAAGTTTCCTTGATTCCCCAATGCTCCACCACAAAAAGCTTGGGTTAGAACTTGACAACACCTCTAAAAAAGAAGAAGAAGGAAAATAACGTGACCCAACATAGCCAAATTAAATTGATGGAGTTTCTTAAAAACCAAAGCACCCATATTTTTAACTTACTCATATGATGCCAACTCACCCAATGAATTCCCTATTCATGATGCACTCTGTTGCACCACCAATAAGATATCATAATTTGCTGTAAATCCGAACACAGTTTTAAGGGGTAAAAATGAATTCATAATATAATTGGGAAGCACTTGAATCACCATTTTTAACATAACCTCCTTACCAACCAGTGAAAGATAACAACGCTTTTATGAATTAAGCTTCTTCCACATTTTGATTTACATTTATTGATTTTAAGCATCGTAAAAAATTGAATTATATTTAAAATAATGAGGGTAAAATTAGAAAAAATTAATTGATACTCTTCAATTTTTTTAAAAAACCTTATATGATTGTAGACAAAAATAACTTTAAAAAACAAAAAGGATAAAAAAATTGGTAGAATTAAACCTTAATAATTTATTTATATGACAAATGTTAAACTAAATTTCTCATCCACCTTCCACTCTCTAATTTGCACCTCTTTACTTATTTTATTTTTCCTTAAATTTAATATTAATATTGAAAGATTTTATCTACTTAGAACAATGGATGAAAAATATACAATTCCTTCAATAATTTATTATTATTAGTTTGATTTCTCATGAGAACAATAACTAGTTCTTTTTTCGAATTTCACTTTTTTATCGGTTAATTTGCTAATAGTATCGCATATTACCTGCAAAATTGCATAACCATGCTAGTACATGTACACACCCACAATTACAATGAATAGCTCATTCCTCTTCCACAATTACAATGAATAGCTCATTCCTCTCTCAACATGAAAAGAAACCAACGTCAGCTACTTCACGAGACAAGATGATGGAATTTAAGGAAATTGCAATTGAGAAAGCTATTAGAAAAAAGCATCACCTTCTCTTTTGATTTTTCATCACAATAAATATTTTTCTATATATTTTTTCAGGCATTGCCTGCCTCTGCAATATGAAGTTCATGACATAGCGAGACACAGTTCCCACGTACTTCTAATGTTAACATCTTCAAAATTTTGACTGGTAAATTATAATATGAAATTTCTAAACTATGATTCTCAAAGCCCTTGACACTTCAAGACCCTTAACAAAACTCTTTCATCAAATCATTGTACTCAGAAATGTTACATGTTGATGATGATCTGAATTGCAATTGATGGCTCTAGACTATTACACCCACAATCTCCCGATAAAAAATGGTCTGAGTGCTGAAGTAAACTCACAGTTGGTCATTTTGCTATCTAAACTGTGCACCATATCTTCAGCACGAGACAAATGAAATCTAGTCTTTGGACGATCAGTTCTCCTAGTTTCTGCGCATTTTTTTCTTCATTTTGTCTTGCTCTCGGTATCTCTCCCGCCGTAGTTCTCTTTGACGCTTTCTTGTCAATTGTTCATCCTTAGCTTTATCTGCTTCATATTCTTTTCTCTTCTGTTCTTCCTTAAGCTTTCGCTTCTTCATCTGCAAAACCATATAGAAAGCATGAGCTATTGATAGTAGTTGAAAACTTCTTAAGCACCATAGCAACTAAGGGTGCTCAAATTGGGTTGCTGGAATTGTAATAAAAGTAAAAGGCCTCATAAATTTTCCTTCCAGCATAGTAAGTTAGTATTCGAAAGAAAGAAATGTAAAAGCAACATATTTAATCAATTTCCCTCAATACCCATATATATAAAATAATAATCGATAATTTGCTTGCTTCGCCATCATTTTTCAGCAAACATACAAAATAAATCTCAGTTTTTTTTTTGGGTCCGTTTTAGGGTTGATAGAGAAGAAGCAGGAGTTAGAACCCAATTGCCACCACTACTGGCAGGCACATGATTAGACAAGAGTTCAGCTCTAATGTAGCATCGAAGTACAATTTGACATTTACACAAATTGGTATAACAAGAAATACTGTAGCAGAAGGTTAGTCAAACCCCTTTAGGTGAAAGCACTTAAAACTGAGATAAATTGCAATTGGTGAAGTGCAAGTAATTCTCAGCCCTGAAAATACTTCTTTCTAATCAATGTAAGAATATAATTTGTCATGATCCAATTCCCAACCATTCAATTATTTTGGTCTTCTGATTACAAGTACATACCTTGTCCTGTCTAATTCTTTGAAGGTGTTGAATTAGCATATGAAGCTTTCGCTCTCCAGGCTCCATTACAACAGCTCTTCTATTTTCAAGAAGAGGTCTTTTACGACTGGGTATGTCCTTTGGTTTGGATTCAAATGGAAGGGCTGCCTGTAAAGACTTGGGTATCACCAATGGGTTGAACTTCCTGGGTTTCCTTTCAATTGGCTGTTGGAACAAACAAAGAAAACATTAATGAACAATAGTGAAAACAGAAAACCAGCACTAGCTTCATCTTGGGGGGGAGAGAAAAGGGAGAAAGAGGGGAAAGGGGGTAGGGGATGTCGGAAAGTCACTAGCAGTCAAAACAACAGCCAGCCTTGAGTAAAAAATTACTTTGTACAGTGAATCCTTGTTAACAGGTATAGGAAGATTGTGCTCCCTCCTTAATTCAGCCACAGTTTTCATTCCTTGCCAAGTAGCACTACGAGGTTGCAATGCTGTGGTCAATGGATTATAGAACTGAGGAACTTCAACTTGAGTCCATGCCCGCAGTATAACAATGTCGCTCATTAGAATCTTGTCCTCAAAGGTACAACGGGCAATCCCTTCTCTTGGTGCCCCTCCCTTCTTCTTGGGTTGGTTACCAATCTCCTCTTTTGCAGCCTGCGCATATTAAAACCAATTAAAATTACTAAAACTAACCTTCAATTATAAGAGGAAGCATTAATATGTTCACACCATCACATATGAAGAAGCAGCTTGTCTGCATGATATATGTCATCAAACATATACAAGGAAATATTCCTTTTTGATATTATAGCTAAATACCAATTTGTTACCTTTGCAGGCAATTCAATAAACAGGACAAGGAAAAGAATAGCAGACACAGACATAAGCATCCGCAAAAGAAAACTTACCTTTTTCACCTGCCCTCGGATCCCACTGACAGTTTTAACAGCAGCACCTTCAAACCGAGCCACTTCAAGATCTGACGTAAACATATTTGTGATAAGTGCAGTCTTCTTGAAGATCTTACATGGGTAACCAACCAACTTGAGTTTTTTCATTATCCTTGTTTCATGGTTGAACTCCAGTACAACTGCTGTTGCAGTTATCCGAAATGCTGCCTGAAATTCAAAACAAAACCCAATTATGGGACTGCATGAAAATTGAAATGAACAGAAAAAGATGTAGTTTTAGCATTGAAGAAAGAGTGAAGCCCTAACTGGGAAAACAGATGAACATGAATCTAGAAATCAACCAGCAAATATTACTCCCTTCAGTTTGAGGAGTTCTTAAACAAGTCCCTTGGCTTGAACATTTAGTCAAACAATGATGTTTAATGCCTCAGATTGACTATAAATGAAGAGTCGCAACAGTATAAAGGTCTATTGAAATCTTAAGGTAATACATAGAGTACAAACCATATCATAGACACTCTCACGTTACATTTTCAGTAAGTCTAGCATCATGGGTGCTCTCATGAGTCATGACTGTTGGTTTGTATCCTTTGTTCCCACATTTTCAATTCCAACTTTACATCAAAGCAAATTCTATTCCATTACCTCAAATTAGCATATACATATCCATCTCCACAAAGCGTAAAATACAATTAAGATTTGCAAGAGTTATTGCACAAGAAGCTACTTGATAACTTGAATTAAATCAACTAATTCCAATCATGAAAGTTAATTTCTTACAAGAAGGTTCACACAAATCCAGATCATGAAAATGGCACCACTGTGGACATGCTACAATTATTAAATTTGAAAAAAAAAATTGAAATTAAATAGCATTAGAAATCAAAATAACAAGGTAACCATCACCGATGAAAACAGTAGAAGGAAAAAGTTAACTGGGAAAAAATAACAACACATAAAAATGCATAATTCACCAACTTCCCCACATTTTCACATAGACATATTTCATGGTTTTCTCTAGATGAAAATAAGAGAACTAACTCGATCACTGTTTAACTAATGGAGAGTAAATTCAGTAAAAACCAAAACCAGACTGTGAAATGCAATATCTGATCGTAGATTAGTGTTTTTCAAGATTTTTAAGTCTTGGCGTATCAAATTATTAATCTTAGGTTATACACTGTATAACTTAAAACTATTTAACTTGCTTGTTCAACTTATTTTATGCAGATGTCTCAATTGGAGAGAAAATAAACCACCAGATGAAAGGTTAAGGATTTCATCTCAGGTCCGTCTCACAATTATGGGTAAGCAAATGCTCAAGTTCTGATTAAATAAAAAATCCTTCTAATAAATTTTACAAGTGTGATTGCTACATAAATAATATATCATATACAGAATGTTATTAACGCAGGGGAAGAATATAGAACTCTCAACAATTAGGGCTAGAATAGGATGATTTTGATTGGAACAAAATAACATATCAGTTTCAAAGAAACCCTTAGAATTAAAATTCTGAATTCATAGATTAAAAAAAAAAAAAAAAAAAAAATAAATAATTGTTTCCTATTATATTAGTTTAGGAAAATTCCTAATTCTAACTGAAAAGTATTCCTAATTAGCTAATACTCCTAATTGATATATTCCATTTCATCTAAATCCTAAATAAAGAAGGAAACTGCAAATTATTCCCGATTAAATTATATTCTTTTAATTTTAATTAGAATCCTAAATATAAGAAGGCAAAAAAAAAAAAAAAAAAAAACAATCGCTAAAACTAATTGTTCCTATTTATATTAGTTAGGACAAATCCTAATTCTATACTGAAAAGTATTCCTAATTAGCTAATACTCCTAGATTGAATAATATTCCTATTTATCTAAATCCTAAATAAAGAAGGAAACTGAAAATTATTTCCCGATTAATTAATATTCTTTAATTTAATTAAGAATCCTAAATAAAGAAGGAAACTAAAAGAAAACTTCTTAATTAGTCTTGGATGCTCCTGCATCAGTTATGCTGGGATGTACAACAGTCCATATGTTGTAAGGCAATTCATTTTCCATTTATTTATTAATTCTTCATATTTGTGCTCTGAGAGTTGGAAGCATCCCAGTTAAGGTCAGAGATGTTTTCATTCAAATTTTCCCACTAGGAAAAGGGAAGCACTTAAAAAGTCTTTAACTCCTAAAAACTTGCAGAAAAAAATAATACAGTTCTGTTGAACAGTGTTACTGTCCTCCCAACAGGAGAACTTTTAAAGAAGTATCACCCAAAAGTGAAGAGACTTATAACCTGATTGTTTGATAAATTCTGGACAGCAACCACCCCAGTGTGGGGAGGAGCAAGTGGACCCCAAAACATGGCAAGACAGTGCATGTGTTCGTGAGTGTACTTGAGCATGCGAAGCTTTCCATTGCGTTCCTCAGTTGCATAGACGGGAGTGGTTTGGTAACGCCTCCAACCTATGGAAACAATTATGGGGTCTCTAGTCTTCAGCCTCTTCCTGTGCCACCTGTGCCCTTTTAACCTAGCCTGGAAGAAAGAAATGAGACAATTCATGGGATTTACTTGTGGACGATTCGAAAATCAGCCATCTTAAACTACAATGTGAACACATCATGAAAACCTTTTTTTCCCTTTCAAAGCAATTTATTTTATTCTAGATACAAGTATCAAGTTTAGATATGTTGCAGCTCCACACATGTCAAAATGAATCTCAATTCAAATGAAAAGGCTTATCATAAGCTTTCAGATTCCATAACCTAAACTTCATTTGATTAGTATTAGTTGTTTAGGAGATTTGATGATTAGACATTTCTACATTCCCATTTTTACAATAGTTTTTCCCAGCTAGTGCAGAATATCGTCCTATCGTCCTACTTGCCCAATACAAGGACAGAAAATTTGACCTTAGTTTTATTCATTTCAAATTTAGTCATCATTGTTTAACACATTAAGGTTTTGGGCTTTTGGGAACCTGAGCAATTAAATTGTTGCCTCTAATGGTTAATCCCCCTCAACTGACATGGATCCAATTAATTTCTGGAGAAAACATCTAAGGTGATCTTTCCCTCATTAATAAGCAGTAAAAATCAATTTCTACCAATGAGGGGAGAAAAATTATAACAGCAAAGTTAGCAACTTATAGTACAATCCTATGAAATTGCAGAAAGGGAAGAAACAAACATCATCCACTGAAGTACAGAGAGAAATGAAGAAGAAGAAGTAGAAAATTGCAACATGAGAAGGTTAAAAAGGAGAATAAAACTATAGTTTGTCTAACCTGCATATATCCAACGTTTTCCTCGCCAAAACCAAGTCCTCCAACCAAAATTGGGTGGCAGGGATCAAAATGCTCAACCATCTCAAAAGGAACATTATGAACTTCCAATCTTAGGTATGTCCCTGTTCGAAAGCCCTCTATGTCTAATCGAGTTTCCTCATCAAGATCCTCAAGTCCAGCAATATTCCGTTGTTTCTGAAGTTCAATCTCCTTCTTCAACTGTAAGGATCAAGCATTACAACCATGCATAAATTACCACCCCAAAACATTAACATGAAGGCGTTCTTGCCGCAACGTGCTTTGGAAAACTCACCTTATCAATATATCCACTTTCATCAGCTTGTCCTTCTTTCTCATCAACTTCCTCCTCAGGTGATTCAGATCCATCATAAGTAAATCAAAATTAAGGTTACAAAAAGCAAGTTCCCAATTCTATAACAAACCAAAATGATGCAGAGGAAAGGGCAAGAGAAAAAAGAGAGATGTACATGTAACATTTGCAACAACTCAGTCTGACGAAATGTTAACAAAAAGGATATTCAGCATCAAACTTTGCACGAAGTGCAAGCTTTTTTAGTCTCCGCTCCTCAATTGCAAGCTCATCTTCTGTCTCCATAGCACCATTACCAGATTCATCTTTCTGACTGCTCTCAAACTTCTCACCTGTTTCCAGATCTTCAAAGTCACCATAGACTTGATCATCATCATCTTCAGCATTGGTCTCAGGGGGTTCATTTCTTCGGGAAGCTTTTGACCAGCCACGTTTAACAAATCGATAAAGGATGCCTTTGTATATCTCTTCCTCTTTCCAGTTTTTAAGATCTGCATGATTTGCAAATTTGGAACAGTCCTCAGTATTGCTATTTGTGCCATCCAATCCTTCGCTCAATTTCTGAAATAAATAAGCCAAGTACAAACGTTATCAATGTTAAACGTGAAAACAAATTTAATTACCCTGCTTGTTGGTATAGCACATTTTAAAAGAAGATGTACTGATGCCTCAAGTAATGTTTCAAACCTTATTTCCTTCCCCTTTTGGCTTGAAAAAGTCATCTCCATCACTTTCCTCGTCATCGCCAATTTCCTGCTTCTCATTAACGGTAGTCGTTGATGCAGAAATCCCATACACAAGTTGCATTAGATTAATATTTTTTCTTGAGATAGTCCTTTCAACCAAAGACTTTTTCCACTTCGATAAGTTGCCCAGGCTATCCTCTAAGAAAGCAATGTATAAAAAATATTATAAATTTAATGAAATTCTCTTAGGGGAAGAAATTAATCCCATCAAATGACTAAGCACTATTTCAATAGTTACTCTCAACAAATTTACTGGAATGCTTTTGTTACTGTACTAAATATCTTCATCCTACACTGTTTTCACATCGAGTGAACTAGAGTTCATAACACAGAACCTATGAATACATTACTAGAAAAAATTCCTCATAAGAAAAAATTACCATCTGCTTCTTCATCCTCTTCATCTTCCCCCAAACCATCTGAACCAGAATATGATTGATTATCCATATCATCATCATCATCTTCACTCCCATCATCGGAGTCCTAAAGTGGTGAATAAGATTAGCATTCCATAATAAAATAAAGATGCTACTATCTGCACTCTATTATGTTGCAACACGTCACTTTACAAATATCAACAACCCAAAGGACAGAAGAAATCACAGGGATAGTCTGAAAACTATAAAGAGCATTGACCCCTTCACAGTTTTTTCTTTTTTGACAAATGAAAAAGACTAAGCTAGTCTCTATGGCTGCTCTAACAATCAACGGTCCAAAAAAGCACAAATGAGCATTTAGCTGTAAATTAAGCAAAAAGCAATGTCAGACATTGGAGAAAGATTTACCTTTTATGATTCATTTTGGTTGTAACATTCAAAAGAATGGAAAAAAAATGAAAAGAAAAGAAATGGCCACACCACATTCCATTGCAGAATAGAGTAGTAATCCACGCAATACAACAAATGAAAGGGGTACATGTTATCTCAAAGCAAACTAATGATATTACCCACACATATTTATGTTCAACAAAGCACAGGCAATTGTTTACACACATTAAGAATAGGGGAAAAATATTAGCACTTCTTTTTTGGAACACAGTTCCTCCAAGAAACATAACCAATAACAGCAATTATTACCTTCAGATCCTTATCATCAATGGCGTCTCTAAATATAGCTTTTCTCCTGAGTCTTCCACCATGAAACTCAATTTGTTCCTTCATGTGATCTTTAAGATTAGCTTGATGATTCGATGGTTCACCATGCTCATCATCAGATCCGCTGTCTTCATCATGTACTGAAGCATCTATTTCAGCCATTCCATCTTGATCAGAAGATTCTGAATCATCCAGATCTTCAGTATCACTTCCTTCTCTAAATATATCAGGTTCAATTTGTTCCAAAAGCTTATCCTGCTTCAAAGGCTCTATATCATAACTCTGCTTCTCATTATTAACATTTACATCATTTTGAGTTTCTGATGTAAGATTCCTACTGAAAAGATTGATGAAGCTATTCTCCAACTTCTCATCAATTGAATATTTTGTGTTCTGTAGTGATTTCACCAAAACCTCACCCACATCTTGGTCCTTTCCTGCAAGACAGGAAAACTCTCAAAAAATGGAATTTGCAAAAAGAAGATAGGACTGCATATTTGCCTCACGCCCTACCATACTAAACGCAATATGATCCAAACACAATATGCACACAATTGAATAATATAACTCTCAGTTAAGTAGACATATGTCTGCAGAATGAAAGGAGAGAGAGTTGAAGTATTGCAAATGAAATGTACAGGAAAAAGATAAAGATGTAAGAACATAGTAGCAAATTGCTAACCTACCTTTGCATTTTGTTGCCCCATTTTCATCATCAGCTTTAGAGAACTGAACAAGGTGATCGTTCAAGGTTATGAAAACAGCATCCTTGTCATACAGCAGCTCCCCAATGCCAGACATGGGTCCATAAAATAGTTTTTCCTTATCTCTCAAGCCCTTCTTTTTGGCAGCTGATGGTAGAGGACAAGGGTCGGCTAAGGCTGTAACACCAGCCAAGCTATAATCACCAACACCAGCAATATGCACCTGATTATAGAAGTAAAATTTTAAGATAAAAGATCCACACGAATACGCGTTTTAGCTATATGAAACACGTTGTAGCTATTCAAAAATACATTTTAGCTATATGGCCTGGAACAAAAGAAATATGAAAAACTTATTGTCTTGCTTCCTGAAATTATTTTGGCAGTTCAGCTCTTTTTCCAAAAGTCCCAGATGTCATGGTTTCAAACTTATCATTCCATCTTCAACAATCTGCCTAAGATTCATATATTTTCGTATCATAAATTTCCTATAAGGATATGAAGAAGAAGAAATACAGCTCTCTGTGTCTAGAACATACTGATCCATGTCTGGATTAGACTACAAATGGACTTTTTATAATAGAAATTTGAAATCAGGTCATAGGTAGGCAGTTTAAATTCTCAATGGTTGATATATGACCGACAATCTAAAACCCCCAAAAAATACAAACAGAAAAACACAAATGCAAATAATAAACTCCGGTTTTCACTTTTGGCTCCAACAAATTTAGCATAATTGGTGCTTGTGAATGACTTAGCAATGAAGAATGTACCTTTGTCCCCCTTTTCAAATTACAACCCCGCAAATAACCATAAAGTGTGACATCTCGGTCACATTTATTGTTCATAAGCACTCGTTCACGGGGAGTTACATCTTCAAAACGATCAACTAAAACATATGGGTGAGAAGTTCGCCACGATAACGGCTGAAACTTCATAACAGAAATAAACCGTGCAAGATTGTGGACCTCTCGCTTAGGGTACCTGTTATTCAGATAAAGAGAATTGGAACAATAATCTTCATAACTACCAATACATACAATGTAAATTTTCACATGTCAGTGGTGTATAAATGAGATACTTACTTTCCATGTATAAGACCAGACAGATAGAACAACTTTGCTCCAGCATATATTTCTGTCCAGAAACGGTGCTTGAGTCTCTGTTTTGTTTTCTTAAGTTTCTTCACATCCTTGAATTTATCAAGATGAGTAAGAACTCCCATAACCTTTGGGAATCCATGAACGTGCAAAATATTGAGAAATTCAAAGGTCTCCTGCAAGAGAAAATAGATAGAGATGACCAAAATCCTTGCTTTCTAACTGGTCATGAATAAATATTCTTTATCTTTTCTTTCCCAAATGGTACATAACAAAGTCAAGGAGACTGAAAGAAACTGAGAAGCCCCACCAGAAAAACCATAAGTTAGCAATATCACACGTACGCAAAATATTAAGAATCTAAGCCGGTATTTTTCAAGGATTTAATGATGAAGATTAACTTGCACAATCTGATGAAGTAAACTAAAGATTAATTTGCAAAATATTTTAAATCTGAAAGATGAATAAGAAAATTTAAAGATTGACTTCGGTTTACAACAAATTTTGTTACAAATGCAGACTGCTTACCCCTGTTATTTCATCAGTTTACTCAAGCAAACATCAAAATTTACAGTTGAAAGGACCTTAATTATCAAGTGTACCAAATAGTTAAAACAAGAACAGACATCATAGACTAAATATCTCACCATTTCAAAGCCATAGCTTCCATCTATCAACAGCAAAGCTAGATCAGCAAATTTTGCAGCATCAATCATGCCATTGATGTCATTTGGACACTCCACAAACTGAACTCTCCTTTGCTTACCTATCATATTTCATAAATTTCACATGTTACAAAAACAAGCTTCAAACCAAACTACTGATAAATAACCTTTCAAGTTTCACCCGAGTAATTAAAGGTAAACAAATAAAACCTGACACAATGGTCATCGGGCCTTGAACCTCCGGCAAATTATGCTTCGTATAATGTTTTACAAGACATTTTATCAACAGAGACTTGCCAACCTGCCATCAAAATTAGAACCCAATAAATGAGTAATAAAGGCATCACACTATAACATATAGTAAATTTAGATATATGAATAATGACTAACTGCAATCATGCAATTGAATTCCTTCATAATATAATACTAATTAAGAATCATGTGAAGACCATTCAAACAAACCATCACTAACTCACAACCCATGGCATTCGCTAATTCCAAAATTTTAAACTGAACAAGTGGTTTTAAGATTTTTAAAGAAAAATATCAAAACTCACATCCAAATCACTATAATCACTTCATCTCATACATACCTTAGGTGGTCCATGAACTACAACAACGTAAGGAGGAGGTTCACCATAAGAGCGGTCAATAACAGGCACATGAAGCCTGCGCTGCTCTTTCTCTACAGCTCGTGACTGCAAACGCTTGGCTTTAACAGTTGATGTAAAAGCAAATGCCTAAGCAACACAAACAAACAGAAATATCCTAATATAAAAAAATAAATAAATTTGCACACTCTTCCATTATAATTGAATTCTTCTATAGCAACAACAATAGGAAAACAGAATGAATAATAAATAAATAAACAACCTTAGGGTTTTTCCTATTTTCCTCCTTTGAGTCGTCATGCGGCTTCTTCTTTTTATCAGATTTTGATTTCTTCTTAGGACCTGATTGGCGAAGCCGATGAGGCTTATGCGACTGGTCTTTGTTGCCACTATCTATAGCCATGCGAGCAACTCAACAAGAAAACCCTAAAAACCAATTGAATTAGATTAACTACTTAATAATTGGAAAAAAAAAATGAAAGGAAATGGAACTATTCGACTGAATGTTAAATATGACCAAAGACAAAACTGAAGCTGAACTATTAGTGAATCCAGGATACTTGGAAGCAGATTGCGGCGAGGTATAGAGAAAACTAGGGATGGTAGTGCACTAGAAATAAACTAACCAAACCCGAACCCGATTGTTAATTTAAGTACCCGAATCCGTTTAGAATTACACGCATACTGCTTGAACCCATTTAAATACCCATTTAATCACAAATTCATTCAATCCATGAAACCCGAACCCGCTTAGAACCTCAATCCGAACCCGATAATGGAACAAAAAATATATAAAAAATGCATTAAAATTCAACCTAATATTCTAAAACAACAGTACTAGTAATATTAGAATAGAACAAAAGAATTAAAATTCATCCTAAATAAATAATGCAGACAATCTAACCAATATCTCAATCAAATAATTTGACAATAAAAAATCTACTAAAATTCAATAACAATAATAACAATAACAAACTAAAAATCAATTAAAACATGATAAACTATAATAAATTATCATAGAATAAGAAGGTGTTGACATATTGGTATCATTTTTGCTACTATCTTTGCAATCTATACTCTCAAATGTTGACATTATATCCTACAAAATAAAAGAATAAGAAGGTGTTGACATATTGGTATCATTTTTGCTACTATCTTTGCAATCTATACTCTCAAATGTTGACATTATATCCTACAAAATAAAATCTAAGTTTAGATACAATATATTTAAAATATTTAACATTAGTAAATAGAAAAGGAAAACCAACAACAATGTAAATCAAAAAGAAATAATCTCATTCTCATAGTCTAAAGTAACTCAGTTTAGACAAAATAACAAATAAATAGTGAAATTATCATACAAGAAAAGTATGACAAATAAATTATTATACAGCACATTTTTTCCTAATTTAAAAAATAAAAAACTAAAAATAAAAAGCAACAGTGTACACTAGCAAATTAAACTAGTTACAGCCGAATTTAGAGACAATAACAAAGAAAAAAAAGCAATCATCAAGATTACATGTTCCTTAGATTTAATTAAGTCGAGTTCAATACAGAGAACAAGATGGTTTCTTTGACCATCTCAGCTTCTCTGCACAATATTAATCATTATTAACAAATCAAACTTTGAATTAACAAACCGACCATGTCAGATTTCAATTATATAGCCATGATTTGGCTCATATTAACCATCCTTTTGCCTTTTAATATATAAATTATCAAGAAATTAATTGGCTTAAACATGCACAAAAACCACAAATAAAAAAATAAAACATTAAACATATATTTGTCGGCTGAACCCACAAATTAATTCAATAATATATTCAGTTTCCTCTTTGTCTATGTATATGTATTTATATAAAAAAAAGAAAAAGAAAAAGAAAAAAGGACGAAGGAGAACGAAAAAATAAATGGAAAACAAAATAAAAAAAATCAAGAATGGAAATGGAGGAACCTGGCACTGGTACTATGGTTGAAGAGCAGGACTGCTGCGGAGGCGACGGCTACGCACGGAGCGACGGGAAGGTCGGACAATAAGACTGAATGGGTAGAAGAACCGTTGAAGCAGAGAACCAGCGGCGCATAGAATAAGAGGTTTTGAGAGGGTTTTGTTTTCTTTGTGCAAAACGACGTAGTTTTCTTTGTGGATTCATTTAAACCTCACACATCAAAACTACGTGGTTTTGATGGTAAAATAAGTTATTATTCTTATTATTAAGTTATTATTCTTATTATTATCTATAATCTATAATTTATCTATCTATCTATAAAAGTGGGAATGCTCAGGAAATAACGAGATTACTGATATTACCTTGTGAAATTTAATATATCATAAAATAACTTTAGTTTTAACCAATTAAAAAATTTTAACCTAAAAATATATATAATATTTCTATAATTTGATTGGATGTTATTTTTACTTTTTTTAATAGACAAATAAATATAGATAATTAAATATTTCAAAATTTTAAATTTTTACGATTATTATCTTATTGTGTCTAATTATATTTTATTGTGTCTAATTATATTTTATTTCATTATATTATTATATAAATTATTAATAATAATATAATAATTTTTAAGAACGTAATTTGCACGTTAAAACTCGTCATATTTATCCTTTTTTTTAAATATAGTTTATTGGTTTTTCTATAATGTAATAAAAATGATAATAAATTGCTGAATAAAAAAATAAGTATATCAATTAGATGTTTTTTAGTCAACATTTTACCGTAAATATTATAATATGTATATAGACAAAATGAATGAATAGTGTAAAAAAAATTAAAATTGAATGAAAAAATAAACCTTATAGCCAAAGAAAAATAAAATTGTTATGGTGATTTTTTATATAAGTATTGAACATTTATATTGATAGTCTATAATAAATTGGTATTTTAATAAGATTCCTAATTGAGTTATATTAAAAATAAAATTATTCATAATTAAGATATCACTCATACATCTTATGTTCAACTGTTGGAAGTACAATAAAAAAATTATATAATAAGTACCGATTTTTTAATTCTTTTAATCGAATTATTTTTATTATTTTTTAGAATTGTATATTATAAGAATTAATTAACATATCTCAGTTAATCATAGATACCCATTTATCATTTATTATTTAATCATTTAATTATTTTATTAATAATTTTATTTGAACTATTTTAAATCTTTTTAGCAATTTAAATTAATATAAAGTAAATTTATATAGTTTTCTATCAATTGAGTTAAAATATTTTGACATATACTTTGTGTTTCTTAACTGAATTTTCAACTTAATTTGATAATTGATTTTTATTTTAGGGTAAGGTTATAAAAAATTTTTTGATTTTCTATTTTTATATTTTCTAATTTTATATGTTTAGTTGAATAGTATTAACCAATCTAATTAAAATTATTATATAATTTTAATCAACCAATAAAATTAAAAATTTTCTAAATAAGATGAGACTAAATTATCAATAATGATATTGTTAATCGACAAATAAAATATAAACAAAATTTAGAATTCCTATACATAGAAAAAAATTATAATTTACTATTATATTATATTTTGAATATTGAAATTTCCAGTTATCTTACTTCTATTGAAATATTTGAAACTAAAAACTTAAAATATATATATATATATATATATATCTATATATATATATATATATATATATATATTATTATCTTATTATCTTAACAAATATGAATCTTACAGGTAAAATATAAGATAAAAGAAGGAAGAAAAAAGAAAAGATGCCAAATAGGTTATCAATTTGTGGTTATAACTTTAGCACAGATAAAAATTCCATTGTTAATCTATTTGTGGAACCCTTTCCCAACTCTTAGCAATGAAAGAAGAATGAAATCCTATTAATTAATAAAATTCAATTTAAGTTATAAGTTTAGAAACTTAAAAGTATTTCGTTGCTACAATCCTCCTTCTACTAGAAATAAGAGGAAATATCTCAGTTTAGGTTGTAATCTTAGAAAGTTAAAACTATGCCATTCTAATTTATTTGTAGAACCTAGCGAAACAAACAAGATTTGTTAATTAGATAGAATAATCTGATTAAGGAAACTAATATAACTAATTTAATTAAAGATTATTATATAATTTTAATCAAATACTAAAATTAAAATTTTTCTAATTAGAATGGATTAAATTATTTTTAATGATATTTTAATCAACCAATAAAATATCAATAAATTAACAATTTCCTAATTAGAATAAGATTAAATTATCCTTAATAATATTTTTAATCAATTATTAAAATTAAAAATCTTTTAGGATACTTACCACAAGAAGAAGACACGATTGCAAACTCAATAATTTCAAATTGACAAAAGCTTTATGTTAATAATTCTTGTTAATAATTCTTAATTTTTATTTTCGAAACTTTTGAATTTTTATTAAATAAAAAATCTGAATTTTTGACTGTCTGGACTGCAAATACTGTTTAATTCTGATTTGAGCCTAAGTTTACGGAGTTGGGCTCAAGCCCAAACACATTATCGGAATTACCGAGTTAAGAACCCTTAGAAAATTATATATATATATATATATATATAAAATATATATATATAATAATCTTATTATATATATATATATATATATATTTGGAGCTCTAATTATTAATTTCTTATAAATATATATATTTGTGTGTGTGTGACTACTATATAAATTAAATAACTTAAAATCAAATATCATGATTATTATTATTATTCTTATTGAACAAATCAAGGAAATGTTATAGAATCTAACAAAAATAATTAAAAATAAATCAAACCGAACATGGAAACCAACTTGATTTTTCAAAAATCAGTGAAAAATCCATAAACCAAGCGAATTGAGTCAAATCGTTGAATCAGACCAAACCGATTAATCGAATCGAAATGATCTAGAAACCGACTTATTTACTTTTTTCTTCCTCTCTTCTTCTTCTTACTCTCGCGCGACAGCCTCTTCTCCCTGGTTCATTGCGATCTTCGGCCACCGGCCGCGGAATTCGGCACACGAGCATTCCATCTTGATCCTCTCGTCGAAATGAACTCCTCTGTGGTCTTGGTTCGCGCGATAAGGGTTGGAATCGAGAGAGATCACGACTGGAAGGTTGGCCACCGTGCGATGGAGTTCTCTGGCGAAATCTCGTCATTTTCATCGACTTCAAGTGCTGGGGGTGGTCTCAATCGACTCCTCTCATCCACACGAACATTTGCCCTCCGATACATCAAACATCTAATGAAAAATGGCGAAACCACAATTAATGGCGGCACCAAGCTACTGTCGGGGCCATTCCAGCCAGATGGAGGACCAACCTCGCACAACTGACATCAAAAATGGATTCCTCGATGAAATTTGAGTGGGGTGACGTGAAGAATGGTCAATTCTAGGCGGCTTTAATTTTTTCGGCCACCGTGCACGCTGGCGGCGATCTGGCGACACTTCGGCGAGGTACCAAGAGACACAATCTTCCTCTCCTCACGTGGATTCTGGAATCGTCACCCGAATTTCGATCGGTATGTCTTAGGACCTATTTTCTGATTTGTATTATAAACTTCGAATTTAAAACTATTAATTGATTAAATTGAATTTGCATAAATAATTAATCAACTATAATCCTTGCTAGGAATTAGTTAACTGGTATAATGTAGTTACAAATTAAAGGATTAGTTAATGGGTAAAATGTAGTTTACAAATTAATTTTTTAAAATTGTTAAATAAACCAATAAACTACATGAATTAATATTATAATTAGGTTATTTGAGGAGGAGATAAATTAGAATTAATTAATTAGTTAATTAGATGATCATTAGTCTAAAACTAGATGGTTGTGCATAAGAAAAGTAAGATGACTTTTAGTCGGCTTATGGTTAGATGCAAAATTTTGATAAATTAAGGTTCGGGAGGCCTAACCAGTTTCAATATTGACATAATAATCAAATTTAATTAGGTAGTAGATATAATTAGTTATTGCTAAAGTAAGTTTTAACAGCTTAACAAATTAGTTACCATAAAGTTATTAATTTGGTCAGTTTATGATTTAACAAATAATCTTATATGAGTATTGTTGGAACAGGTTGAAAGTCGCTATATTTATAAACTTATGGCTGAGATAGTTGGGTGTTAATACTGATGTTTAATACTGATGTCATAAGGACGATGGGGTACCGATGGGTACTTGATTTGATTAATTGCCCGACGGATGGGCTGTGTGATTTGAATAAATGATTGAATGAATGAATAATGGTTTGATAGGATTAGTTGCTTTGGATTGCCTGAAGGATGGACTTTGAGAGTTTATTGTTGAGTTGTGGTTTAATCAAATTTTAAGGGAGGTTCTGCCAAAATCTCGATAGAATCTAGGCTTATCAAACATAACAATTAAGTTAATAGGTTTATTTAGATTAATTCTATAACTTGATACATAATGAATAAAGTGCTCTAATTATTTCATTATTATTCATTTAATTATTCAATTATTTTCATTATTATTGTTTATTATTATTATTTATTTTATCATTGTTGTTTATTGTTAATACTATTTATTTATTATTTAATTATTTGCATTTGAGTATGGGATGTCTAATTGTGCATTGCATTACGATGTTTAATTGATCAATATGTCTGCTTTTAATTGTAATGCTTGATTAGTTGTGATGTGACAATGTTTTGCCATGTTTGTGTGGAGTTGGAATGAAGTGGATAACCATGAGTTTGTGATGGTGGTCTGCGAGACTGTTGGTCGTATAGGAGATCAGTGCCCCCCGTGTGCACCTGATGATATGATATGAATAATATGGATAACCACAGGTTGGCCTCCTGTTGGTATGGAAAAGAAAACAGAGAATGAAAAAACAATGAGAGGGTTGGTCAAGTGAGGATTAGACCAGTCGGCCATATATGGGGCCTTAGGTGCACACGTTATGAGAGGGTGGGCCATTGTAATGAGGATTGGTCATGGGGTTTGGTGACGCCACAGACTGTATTTCCAATTGTGATGTGATTATGTGTGTTAATAATTGCGAGTGGCTATTGTTGTGCCATTGTGTGAAACTGCCCGCATGATTCATATAACAGTCGGATGACTAGATTTAATATTTAACATTTCGT